TCCTTCTACAATAGTTTATTAGGAGGCTTGATACTGTCACAGATGTTAGAAGCTCTTTAAAATTTTTTTCAATATTTTTCTATGATTTTTATGTTAGATAATTTTTATTGATCTATTTTTAATTCTACTGATTATTTTCTCCATTCTGCTATTATCAATCTGTTACAGTTCTAGAGTTTTCTCTGTTTTAAAGTAGTTCCTGGGGCGCCTGGGTGGCTTAGTCGGTTAAGCGTCTGACTTTCGCTTAGGTCATGATCTCCCGGTTCTTGGGTTAGAGCCCCGCGTCGGGCTCTGCGCTGACTGTCAGCTCAGAGCCTGGAGCCTATTTCAGAGTCTGTATCTCCCTCTCTCTGACCCTCCCCTGCTCACGCTGTCTCTCTCTCTCTCCTAGAAATAAATAAAAATATTAAAAAAAAAAGTAAAGTAGTTCCTATTGCTTTGCTGAAAGTCCCTACTGTACACTCATTGACCACATAAATATCATGATAAATTAGTTGACTGAATATCCCTTATTTACTAATTGCACCTCAGGTTTTGTTTATATTGAAAGCTATTTGTTAAAAAATATGTGTCCTATTATCCTGTATGTATAAGACTTTGAATGTCTTTTGATATTTTTTTGCCATGAATCAAATACTTTTACCATGTATCAATACAACTTATATATTATCAGCATTCTGATTTTTATTAATCCTCTGAACAATGTTTACTTTTTCTTTCATTAGGAGTTAAATTATTAACAAAAGACCTTCATCTTGGGCAAGATCAATTTTTTTTGCTTTTTTCAGGTTAGTTTCAGTTTTGATCTTAGGCTTAGAGCAAATCCTAGTTCTATAGCACAGAAGGGTCATGGTCCTTCTAGGTAGGTTTTTAAGAAAAGAGTGATGTATTTATTATGATCCTCTAACTTAGAGGATTGAAACTCCAAACACAGTCTCTCCTGCTGATTGGCAGCTGGAATATTGGCTCAACATTTTCAGTCTTTCTGTTTTTAAACTTTTCCAGGTTTTTTGGTGTCTTTTGCCCAAAAACAAATCTATGCAAACAAGGGAAGTTTGCATACAGATTTCAAGTGTTACCTCTCTTGTTATTTTTTTTTCTATGATTTCCTCCTAGCTTGAGCAGCTCAGGCACCCCCACACGCTTCTTTAGAATCTCAAAGCAATAAGATTGCCGCTTTCTGATTCTAGTCATCCTGTCTCTCTGGGATTGCGGGTTTTCCTGGAATGCGGGACTTCCCATGCTTAAATCAGGCAAATTGGTGGCTAATAGGGACAAGCTGGTCATTCTGTAATTGCACTCTTTGGAAAAGCTACATAATTTTACATTTCATCCAGTTTAGTTTCATCTTTCTGTGGTCAGATGTTCAACACTTTATGCTTGCTTTGGTAACTTTCTAGTACTTTACACAGTTTAATATTTTGTCCACAACTTAAAATTGTTAGCATGAAGGATGGCTAGCCAATTTCATCATTACCAGGACTAGAAATGCAATAATGTACTTTGATTTCCCAAGTGATAAGAGATTTGATATCAACAGCCAAACTGGCCCAACATCAGACCCCATAATTCACTTTGAGAATAATAATATCAAATTATAAGTAAAAATAAAACTTTATTCAGAAAAGGGTAAACTGCAAAATGAATCTCCAACATATTGACAATGGCTTGCTTGAATGACAGGATGCAGGTGGTAATTTTTTTTCTATTTTATGATAATTTATATAAATGCATATTTGCACCTGTATACATGTATACAATGAAAGTATAAGCATCACATTTCCCAAATAATGGTTATTTAAATGTGTATTATAAACATATTTTCTTTTTTTTTTTTTAATGTTTTTATTTATTTCTAGGAGAGAGAGAGAGACCGCGTGAGCAGGGGAGGGTCAGAGAGAGAGGGAGTCACAGACTGAAAGAGGCTCCAGGCTCTGAGCTGGCAGTCAGCACAGAGCCCGACGCGGGGCTCGAACCCACGAACCGCGAGATCATGACCTAAGCGAAAGTCGGATGCTTAACCGACTAAGCCACCCAGGAGCCCCTATAAACATATTTTCTTAAAAATGGGCAAGAATAAATGTAACTAAAAGGTAATTAAAAATAGTGGATAAGGTGTCTTCCAATACTAGTGAATATAAAATGTATTGCAAAATCTTAGAAAATATAGTAAAAGAATTTTCTTCAGAAGTACCCACAAGATAGGAAATATCTGTGGGGCCCCTGGTGGCTCAGTAGGTTAAACATCTGACCTTGGCTCAGGTCATGATCTCACAGTTTGGCATTTTGTGAGTTTCAGACCCACAACGGGCTCTGTGCTGACAGCTCAGAGCCTGGAGCCTGTTTAGAATTCTGTGACTCCCTAAATCTCTGTCCCTCCCCTGCTCCCGTGCGCGCTCTCTCTCTCTCTCTCAAAAGTAAATAAACATTTAAAAAAAAGATAGGAAATGTCCGCAGAGTCAAACTGAAGCCTAGCCAGGAATAGTACAGGTAAAATTGTACCTAAACGTCATAAAAAGTAAATTTCCTTCACAGATTCTCTTAATATGCTGAGAGGTATTCCATTATTAAAGTAGATTAGAATTTATAGAGATTATTATGATATTGATAAAGGATCAATATATGAATTATTACTTTGGGAATATGATAACATTCATTCTCTTAGGTTAATATGCTTGTCACTAAACTCAGAAGAAAAAAAAGCTTATGATGCAAAACTGGAAATGTTCTTACAGTAGAAGACAGAATAGTCACATCAGTTTTTTACATGGTATGAACAATATTTGCAACCTAATGGCCTACATATGTTTGGTGTGGCCTCCTTTGTGTTTTAAAAATTGGGACATTTTTCATAATTTTATTTCAATTTCCTCTGGCAACTCTAACTAGAACCAAGCAGTGGCAATTCCATTCAGATTGGGTGTGATCAATCCAATGTGTATTGTTTCCAGCACTTCAGTGATTCAGAAACACAGCCCTTTTCTTTCATTTATCTTACTGGCTTGGTTTTGATAGGCACCTAGCCTTAGCCTACAAATATACAATAGAATAGCTTCATTAAAAACAAAGATACAGCTGGGGTACATGGGTGGCTCAGTCACTAAGTGTCCAATTTCGGCTCTGGTCATGTTCCCTCAGGTCATGATCTCATGGTCCATGGGTTCCAGCCTGAGCCCTGCTTCGGTCTTTATGCTGACAGCTCAGAGCCTGGAGCCTGCTTGGGATTCTGTGTTTCCCCTTTCTCTGTACTCCCTTCGCTCATCCTCTGTGTCCCTCTCTCTCAAAAATAAATAAACATTAAAAAAAGAAAGATTCAACAATTAACAACCAAGCATCTTTTTGTCAACATAAAGAGGGCCAAAGTTCCTCACAGTACTGCAAGGAACAAGAGAATTGCAAAGATAGGGATTTATATTTGTTCTCCCTCTATTTGAATCATAATAGAAAAGCCAATTGCCTGCTGCCTATGAATATTGTTGTTTTGACTGGATTCTGTTCAAATGTCACAAAATAAGGTAGATTTTTAAGGCCTGTAGGATTCCAGGTATGTCTGTGAGGCCTTTTTTCCTTCATTGTCAGAATGAATTGCTTCAACTTCTATTCTTGGCGGGAGCTACTAGTAATTCTCTCTGCTTTCCTTGGGCATAATTTAGGCTTGTGGATGGAATTTTCTATTCCTCTGCCTCCTGGACTCCTTACTCAAGTTCCCCACCTCGAAGACTTTCTGTAGAAAAGCCACTGGTTTTGAAATGACTCCCTACTATATAGCAGCAAGGTGTCTTTTGGTCCTCTTCACCTGTATCTCTCCATAAACTTTTTTGCTGTGGTCTGAACTCTACTGGACACTTCAAACAATTTTCACTTTCTTCTTTATGATGAGTAATGGGGTTTCCTCTGTGGCAGATGAACTAGCATGGCACAGAGGGATATCTCCCATGTATCAGTATCCATGGTAACATTCTAAGCAAGAAGGAAGCATGCTAACAGGACTCATCCACCCCAGAAATTTTCAGGATTGTCTCCAAGCAAAACAACAACAACAAAAAGGCATTTATTTCCCACATAGCAAATAGAAAACTCCTTATATTGTTAAATGTCCTCTTGATCTCTCCTCTTTTACCAAATCTCTTCACAAAGCAGCCCCTATCTTGTGGTTTATATTCTTTACTCAAGCAGCTATCTCAGTGTAATTATTTTCATCGTTCAAATGTTTGTCTTTACATTTTCTCTGGGGCTGGGGAACCAAAAAGGGGCTAGTAAATCCTGGGAAGCATAACATTTTTTCATGTCTTTTCATTCTATCAATGTCCTCTCCCTTCATTCAAATGGAAAATTCACCAAATCTATTTCCCTACAGAGTGTTTTACAGAGAAACAGTCATTCCTCCCCCTTCCACCACCACTGCCCCTCCTCCCCCTACAGTGTAACCGTGATTTCTAAGACTGCACGATTTTAATAAGGATTCCTGGCAGATCTGATGAGACAAACCTTCTGTCACTGGTGATATAGTTTACGGGCTTGCTAAAGCCTCTCTTGTTGCCATAAAAGTCAGTCCTTGCATCTGTGTGCGTGCAGTAAGGAGTTTAAAAGCACTGGGAAGACACCACGCATGTGTTAATTCGTGCTGCAGCAGAGTGCATCACTTCCACTTTGACCTCATAGTTAATCTGCGTGATAGTTAATCGCGCATAGAGTCTTTGATTTTTTAAATTTCTTTTAAACTCTCTCTCTCTCTCTCTCTCTCTCTCTCTCTCACACACACACACACACACACACACACACACACAGTTTTAGCCCTGCCTGCCCCCACTAAAAGAAAAACACAAAACAGAAAAAAAAAAAAAAAAAAGCACCACCTAAAACGATGGACCGGGGGAGTATGTGTAAGTGTCAGGGGCAGGAGTATGTGTAGAGTGTGCGCGCATCTCTCTCCCTTATTTGTCTCCCTGTGCGTCTCTCCCTGTACCCTCCCCCTGCCTCAAATACATTATTCCCCCAGACTTGGAAGCCGCTCCCAGAGCTGACGCTTTGATGGTATCTGCAAGCGTTTGTGCAGATCTTATTTCTGCCCCCTGAATATTAATTCCCAAAGCTGGTGGCAACACAGCAGCTCAGTGACGGGACCTACTAGAGGCAGGTGGGGGGAGCCACCATCAGATCATAAGCATAATAATAATACAAAGGGGAGGGATCCTTCTGCAACCAAGAGGCTAGAGGCAGAGGAGGAAAAAAAAACCCTGATGAGTCCGACAAATATATGGAGCACAGGAAGCTCAGGCTACTCGACTCCTGTATTTTCACAGAAAATGACGGTGTGGATTCTGCTCCTGCTATCGCTGTACCCTGGGTAAGATGTGCTGTTTTCAGCGTTGTTTTCTTCCGGAGAGGTGGGGGAGGGGGTAAGAATGTGGAAATAGGGAGACCACCCAGATTTTAAACACTGTTCTGGGATATGGGGTTATAATTTAAGGGAATGTGAAAATATGGGGCAGAAAAGAGAGGGAGGAAAGAAGAAGGTCACTTTCATTTATGTCTTTTTTAAAAATTTTATTTGTTTCGTTTTAGAGTGGGAAAGCTAACGTCATAAAGACTTTGTATTTGGGGAGTAGCATTTTGATAATACTGCAATCTGATGTGGAGGTGGGCTTAACTGATACATGCCGGCCATTGAGGCCATGTTGGAGGCATTTTGGGAGGGGGGGTCTGGAGCAAAAACTGCAAATGGGATCTTGGCTCACACCCAGGAGACGTATGTGTGTGGCGGGGAGGGATTCTGTTCCTGTACACCAAATATTGTTTGCTCCTGGACCTGGGCATTCTTAAGATCAGTCAGTCAAATTTTGTATTCATCCCCATTGACCTAGCAGCAGATTCCCTGATGGGCAGACATGGTTCAGCACCAGGGACAGCAGTCCCAGTTAGGGCCAAAAGGAAAAGAAGCTTATCTAACCCCATAGGACACTCTAATTCTACACAGGACATCCCTATAGTGAAGACGGAAGGCCAGGGGAGCCAGGGAGCACTAAAACCCGAGGAGGGGGGGAGGCAATTCTGATTTCCCTCCACCTCCCAGGAGATGGGAGGGGGACTGTGGGCATGGGTGGAGAATGTAGTTGATGATTTTATAGAGGATATATGGCTAGAAAAGAGGTGGTCTTGTTGCAATGTTGAAAAATAAGCTGAACTAGGTGAATGTTAAGCCAAAATTGTGAAGTTATGCACTGATACCTTAAATTTAGCCTTGCTGCATTAAATGGAAAAGATGGGTAGGGGAAGATGAATTTCTAAAAACCCTAGCAAGTATGTGCTCTGAAGTCTTTTGTAGCTATATTTTCCTGAACTTCACTGCACCAAAAGTATCAGGAGAATATTCCTCCACCTATAGGTCATCAGTTATCTACACACCTAAATAGCCCCTGGCACCACACCTACACATACCCTTAGGATTTCTAGCCAGGGCCAAAGGCAAGTTAGAAGTCCACTACTTACACTTCTTACTTTCTTCTAAACTGTCATTTTGAAATAAATCTTTATAAGAATTACTCTCATCCCTTTCACCTCCTACCTCACAAAAATAAAAGAAAAAACTAGCCATAGAAGAAATCAAGTCATTGTCCTAAGGTTTTTGTGGAAGTTGATGCTCTCGTGTAGTAGTTGTGTCAAAAGAAGACAAAAGGGATGAGGGCTAAACTATTATTTTATTGAAAATTTCTAGTCAACTTCTCTGGTCCTCCTCCCTTCTCTAGGGTAGGTATTGGGAGATACAGATTTCTGGTAAAGAGGAGACCCAGGGAAAACAAGGAGTGAAAGCCTTTTCTTGGAGTTTCTAAATAGAGACAAGTTCTGCTTAATTCTTTCAGCACTTTTCATACCTTTGTTCTTTACTATAAAAATAGAATGTGTTTTTCTTAAGAGTATAAGATTTAGTGGCTTTCTCAGAAGTATAAACTGCCTTATACTGGAAATTGTTCTATGGAATACATTTGAGTGGAATCCTGGAAAAAACATTTTTTCTGTTTAAAATTTATGCATATATTTTTCTGTTCAGTGTTGTGTGTAGCTCTTAATTTGTTTCAGAAACTAAGGAGTTGATAGTTGCTATGGATAGAATATCATCCTCATATTCTTACCATTTATGAAACCTGTGGATTGAAATCTACACAGGACATAGGAAAATGTGTCTCCTTCCTCTTCATGTCTATCTTAGTAAACAATTTTATAACTTAATAGATGAAGATATTTTTATCTCCAGTGGCCTTATTTTAATGAAAAATGTATAACTTTATTATTATTCATAATTGTATGATATTTAAGATGTTATTTTGTTTCCACAGCTCTGACTTTTCTTCTCCAATATTATATAAAAAGTAAAACTTTAGTGATACATTTTAATTTTCAATTCCTTGCCTAGTACCCTAGATGAGCTTTTTAGATAGTTCAAAATAATGGAAACTATGTGTCATGTAAACCCTCCAGTAGGAGAATTTGCACATTTTGTTAGTAATGAGAGGGAATGGAGTCATTGCAGTTTAATGCAGAGAATGTGATCAGAGTTTCAGTTTACTGCAATCTCATAAAAAAAAAAAAAAAAAAAGCCATTTGAGTGGCTGAATAGGGCCGGATGGAAATAGAAGCTTTGATGTCTAAAGCTGATTCTAAAGGAGGACAAAAAGCATCTGGGAAAATGTAGGATCCTAAAAGCCAATATAAAAGAAGGTTTAGGGGTAAATAGTGGCAGTAGAACTACCTAGAGAGTTGAAGGGAACTTTAAAAAACAAATATTTAATTGGCTTTTTCATTTGTATAACTGCTAAGAATAAATTTTTATCTCTTATTAAATTGACTAAATTTATTATGTTGTGTTTATACAACAGGAAAACAAAGAGGGATATCAAGCATTGGGGAGAGGATGTTAACACCTAATATCTCTTCTTATGTGGGAAATATTAATTTCTGAAACTCAAAGTTATGTAAACTGTCCTGTTACTTCTGTATAGTGCTATCATATCACCTAGAAAACTTACTAAAATGGAGATTCCTGAACCATATACTGAAAGATTCTGAATTGTTATTTCTGGGATGGAGCTCAGGAATATTCACTTTCAACAAGTAGGCCTTCATTGAAAAAAAGTGGTATTTGCTTTGCTGATTTCCAGAAGTTTATTCATCACTGTATTTAATATTCAAAAGTGTTTCGACTATTGCTACTTAATTATTCAACTGACCACAATGAGTCAATTTCACATACAGACTTTTTCATTTATAACATTGGGTATATTATATAAACCACAAAAGATAAAGAATACCTAGAAAGAATATTAATAAACCCAACTCATGTTGAGTAAACGTTGGCTGAAAAAATAAAATATACATGTATGTATGAATGTGTGTGTGTAATTATGTTCACAAACTATATACACTCCATGTATAACTATTCATACATACAGGTTTTAGAACAAATTTTACAATTTTATAAACTCTTTCAATGTAACTATATTCTATCTCAGAGTGAAAATACCCTAGCAAGAAAAAAGGAATTGTAATATAATAGAACTTTTTTAGAATAAATAGGAATAAGTGTTAAAAGTCATTTTTATTTCTGTTATAATAAATAAGATTTTTATATCAATTTTTTCAAGGTTAAATTGAATGGAGGCGAATTTGATTAACTTTTTGATACTAAATGTAACCTTTACTTTGAAGTTCTAGCCCTGAATTTTATTTCATTTTTTAACTTAGTTTTTTATTTTTTGGGGCTTATTTTGGGAGGAACAGAGAGAGAGAGGGAGAGAGAGAGAATCCCAGGCAGGCTCTATCTACACTGCCAGCACAGAGCCTGACTTGGGACTTGAACCCACGGACCGTGAGATCATGAGTTGAAATCAAGAGCTGGAAGCTTAACTGACTGAGCCACCCAGTGCCCCACACTGAATTATGAAAGAAGAAAACTGAGTTCGAGATTTGTAAATATTTTCTATTCTTAGCTGTTCCCTGAACGGAAATGCTTCAGGTGACTCTTCTGGTGCACTGCTAAAGATCTTGACCTATAACCAATTTTTCATGGTTTTTAACATTATTTAGTAGGCTATGATCCTGCATGGAGAGAGGATGTTGTGATTCTTTATTATAACACTGTCTTAACAGAATTTCTTTATCTACAAGCCTATACTTTCCTATATTTCCAAATCTTCCACTTGGTTTTATTTAGAAGAAAAATAATTTCCTCAGCATAGTTAATTGCTTAGTTAAATTTCAAATAGTTTACCCTGAGGCAAACATCTACCTGGGGGGAAAAAAAAAGAAAAAATATTATCACCTGATATTTCTCAGAATCCAGATGACCATCACACTCTACACAAAACATTTGACTTATAGACAGAAATTTAAGAATCAGCTTTTAATTTAAATAGTTACATAAATGTCTGATATCTTAGGCTTCATTTAGAATAATCTCCTCTAAAGAATTAAACTAAAGAATATTTAATGATAGCAGTCTTTCTTCCACACACTTGAAAATTTGGTTCCACATCAAGAAATTTTTAAGTTGGGAGTCCCTGGGTGGCTCAGTTGATTAAGCATCCAACTTTTGGTTTCAGTTCAGGTCATGGTCTCACGTTCATGAGTTCAAGCCCCATACTGAGCTCTGTGCTGACAGCATGGAGCCTGCTTGGAATTCTATCCCTCACTCTCAGTCTCTCTGTTCCTCCCCGACTCGCACTGTCTCTGTCTCTCTGAAAGTAAACAAACATTAAAAAAAAAAAAAAGAATTTTTCAAATTGAAAGGAAGTTAATATTAACTTTGGAGGCTTTATCTTTGTTGTAAATACGTTAATAGAACTATGGCCCTTGTCACTGACACAGTTTCCTAGCCATTCCAAGATAGGCTTTTCATTGTTCAAACACAAGTAGGCTTTGCTGGAATAACACATACTTGTAATTGAAGGGGAACAGCTATATATTTGTCTCACTACATAGACTTTGGTTCTACAACCAAACTTGAGTTCATGGCAGGGCTTCAATTATTACAAAGGATCTTTGCTTAACAAGTATTCTTGTTTTCACCACTATTATTTTATTTGCTATTCATATGTTTTTCCTTATTAATGGGTGGAGAGCGTAATACCAGTGCTACTTGTTTAGCATTTACATGGCACTTTATCTATAGAATTATACAATGATATTTTAATGATATAGAATTATTACCATATTTTGCACTCTTATCACAATACTATAGGGATTAATATGATTTGGAGTTAAACCTTATTTTTACTCCAAGCCACAAATGTGTAACTTAAAGAAGGGTTTTTTATTTTCTTTTAAAGGATGTTTATTCCCCAGAATATGGGA